AAAAATGAAAGGCACTAAGCCATTAACTCGAATTTTACCAGAGAAGTACATTAACTATACTAAACTATAGTTTTTCAACCTTGTCATAATTTAAAGAAATAAAGGGTATTTTAATGCCAATGTAGTAGGAAAAACATAGTTCCACATTATAGAGGAAATCCCACTTGTATGTGAAACAGTAATAACAGTAGGATGGGGGTTAAATTTCAACTGGATGGAACAGCTTTTCTGGTATTGTTTAGCATTCCATGAAATCTACAAAGACCAAAGAGTGTGTCCAAGATACAACAGCTTTTACATTGAAGTCAGTCAAACAGCTATTTTGTAAGTTAAGTTCATCTAAAGTTTTTGATTAATAGCTCATTGTTTTTACCCAAGTTTAAACACAAAAGGGTGTGTGCACATACACTCACACAGTTTCATCCATGTATACATAGCTTTAAATTTAGATCAAATACTTGAAACAGTTAACTGTTTTCTAGAATATATGTTGTTTGAAATTCACCTTTACAAGCCATAGATTGACAGAACTTTGGACAGGAAAGAGGTTAAGAGATTGTTTACTTTTATATTTTTATTCAATTGGAAAAAACAAGAAGGGCTAAAATGATTTGTTTAAAGTAAAAGGCTAATTACTGGCAGCAGTGAAATTTTAACGCAAGAATCGTGACTACTTGTTTAGTGTCTATATCAAATCTCTCATACTATGGGTGCTAAGAAATAGTTCTATAAATTTTGCAAGAATTTTAAAATACATATTTGTCTAAGACATACACAGTGTTATTTGTAGACATTTTATTTTGAAAAAAATAATTTTCGAGGCACTTTACCATGCAGGTTATTTACAAGTTTAATTTGACAGTTATTTACAAGTTTACTTTAATTTAATCTTGCTTTGATTGTGTCAGGACAATAATAAAATAGATGTCATTAGATTGATAGGTTACTAAGGATAATGTTTAGAAATAAATATAGAAGTTTAATGAAAATGGGTATGTAATGAATGTCATAATTGACTCATAATTATGTTTCTTTATGGCTGAGAAATATAAGAAGTTTATGTAGATGTTTTGAATAGCTGCATTTAAAAAATGTTTTCTTATGTCACTTACCTCCTTATCTGGTTCTTCACTAAAATTAAGTGACACTTTATTTTCGTTATATATTAGATTAACCTCTTTGACATTAGTCTTTCCTTTGCCCCATACATGGATGGATCCAAGTATCATTTCACTTTTATTTATGTAACCACTTTTCAATATAGTGCTGGTCAAAGTGGTCTGTAAAGATAAAGAAATAATTTAAACCTCTGATTTACAAAAGCAATTAAATCTTCAAAAAATGTCTGTTAACCAAAAATTTATTTCATAGTATAGCAAATTGTTTATTAAAATATTTGAAATGAGGTATTTTACATTATAAACATGAATTAAAACTTCAAATATTCTTCTAAAAATTGCATATTAGTCATTTTACACACCTTGTTTAAATTAAATTGTACCAAGAAGTATAGGTCTCTTTCATAGGTGTCTGTAGAGAAAAAAAAAGATAATATATTTTTATTTCCAAAGAACAATAGTAAATACTAGTATACTTTGCTTCTTTTTTCAGTATAAAGGGTAGTATATAGTATCAATGCATAATTCATTTTTCTCTAATGTTATTTAACTTCTTTAGGCATAGGTCAAGAAGCATTGGAAATGAAGAATGAATCACCAGAAAAGATCCTAAGGGGACAAGGTAGATTGGGATATGTGTGTGGTGTGTGTGTCTATGTGTGTAGGAACGTAACACTAAAGCTGTAACAGGTCTAAAATCACTTTAACACACTTCTCTAAAATGGTGGCAAGAAGTGCACGGAAGTGCAAGAATAAACAGAATTGGGTGGTAATAGCAGTGAACACTTACTTGCCACCTCAGTGACTGTCGAAATAATAATAATATTAAAGGAAATGAAACACGGCAGCAACACATTGTCATTTAAGAAAAAATTCAATGGTAGATATTGTTGCAGGTCAACTAAAATCCAACTGATAAAGCATAACATTTATATCTACTGCTTTATCTAAAGTATAATCTTGTCATATTTAAAATCAATTTTAATAATAATCTTACAGCTAAAACTTATTAAAAGCTTACTCTTTGCCAAATTCTAAGTACTCATCACAACTCCTCTAAGAGGTACGTATTATTATTATGCCCATGGATAAAAGAAGAAAGTGAATCTGAAAGAGGTTAAATAAATTTCCAAAAGCGAAACAACTAATTACTGTCAAGGTCTGGGATCAACCCCAATTCTCCTTGACTTCTAAGATTGTGCTGCTATGTAAAAAGCAAAAGCATGTGTAAGACAGACAGGGAAAAGCAGAGTCAAATGAATGATTGAAACAAGTATTGGGGTAACTTTGAAAAAGCAATGTATTTTAATTCTTGTCTACTTATACATCATTATAGTCATTAACCCACTAAAATTAATTTGCACTTAATTTTGCCTATACTAAGATTAATATTCTGCCTAAAAAATTTTCTCTATATATGCCAATCTATGCATGACTAATTTATTATGCATTATGAGGCATTTTAGTGTTAATATATCTTAACTATTTGTTTTAATTTTAAATATAAAATTTTAGGATAAGTTTTCAATGAGTAATTTTTAAGTAAAGAATTCTGAGATTAAAAAAGCAAAAGTGGCAGCTATTAGGAGGATATGAGCACCTATGTTATTTTTAATGAATAAGAGGAAGATAAGGGCACACCCATATCTATTTCATTGGGAAAAGTAGGACAAATTAACATTTTACTAAGCTACACCTTTATTAAAAGCTAGAATGGTCAAAATTTATTTAATGTTCACAAGTTTTATGGTAGGTTCACCTCTATCTATCTTCGATTTTTTTGAGAGAAAGAATTTGTTAGCACATTATAATATATCACAAAATTTGAATGCATTTGTTTAAAAGGAAGGAATCATTTCAGACTGGTGTGTTTGCTGTGAGAGAAAACTTCTTTGGAGATTGTGATCTAATAAATCCAGAGAGGTAGCATTTGCTGTATATTGTTGTTGCTGTTAAATGAAGAGATTACAAGGGATTACTTAAAATTTTTAAACTTAATTATAAAAAATATACTGAGATTGTGAAATATAACAGAATAAGCAGATATAACTGGCTAAAACAATTCTGTATGCTTGCATGGAGAGATCATAGAAAAATATTTGATTTATACTCAGTTACTTTCCAGTGATTATAAAAATCTGTCATGAAATGCGAATAGGATAAAGACCATACCAAGTTATTTCATCTACATCTTAGTTTGATAGGAAGAACTGGAGAAAAAAATTCTAAGAGAAGATCTCTCTACTTAACTGTTAGAATTAATGAATTTAATTTGTTAAATTGTGAAATTCAAAGATTCTAAGACAAAGACACAAATTATGAATACTTCAACTTTACACTCCTGGGAATATTAATATTAGGCAAATTCAAAGTGCATCCTGCTGAGCCCAGGTGAGAAATAGAGGCTGCAAGCTTTGTAGAACCTCAGTTAACATAGTCCATTTATGCGAAACTTCAACTTCACATAGATGTTAGTCTTTATGACTGAAGTTTGTGTCAAGAAAATGTTCAGAACACCCATCAAGTAGAACCGGCACCATTAAATGGCAGTCAGTATACTTCATCTACCAGTGTTTATGCACAGTATAAGAATCTCTGGGGACATTGTGCTCAAAGGCAGGTTCCTGGGTTTCTCTCCATACTAATGGAATTTGGATGAGCCCCAGAATCTGCATTCTTAACAAACTATCCCATTTGTTTCTGATGCCAATGGTCAATAGAACACACAAGGCTAGGAGCTTAGAATTCAGTATAGTATTGAGGAACAGTTATGGAGGCAGTAAACATAGATCTAAGTTTAAGGATGCCCTCTCTTGTACAAAAAAATGTTAAGTATTAAAAACAAAACCAACCAAACGAACAAGCAAAAAACAATAGCCATAAAGTACAGAGACCAAATTTACTTGAGTTTGGTTTCTGGACTATCTCCTTGTTTTAGAGACATCCTTTGTGCATTGTTTGGGCTCAAAAAAATGATATCCCAAAATAAAAGCTTCAGAGGTAGTTTCTCTCTGATCTTCTCCTGCCTTCCTGTCTCTTGACCCTCATTCTCCAGTCACAGAAACAAAGCTAGGCATCCAAAGCTAGCCATAAATCCTAAGACTATTACTCTTCCTCCTGCCTTTCGGTGTAACGGTTGGCCTTAAAGAAATTAGATCTTCATTCTAAAGAGGTTCTACCTCACACCTGGGAGGAAGAAATGGTACAACGAAGAGGACAAGAAGAATCTGGACAGACATTGATAGATTTCCCCACTCAGTCTATTTCCATTAGCTCATACACTTTTTGTCCAATCACAATTCTCCATGGCTTTTCTTGCTTAATTGAATCTAAGCATAAAATCGGATAACTTTCCCTATATCTTTGGGTCTTTATTTTGAAGACTCCCGTGTCACATAAAACTATGATCAAATAAGTTTGTTATGGTTTTCTATTGTTAACTTGTCTTTTGTTATAGGGGTGTTGGCTAAGACTCTTATGATAGGTGAAGAAATGGATCACCCCTTCTCTCCCCTACAGCATCAACATATCCACATGGACATGACTGTTGAATTGACGAAAGTCAGTGTCTATTATGTGAAAAGCACTGAACTATCTTTTGGAAGTACAAAGATGATAGACATATAATCCCTACCCACACAAATTTCTAGCTATTCAGACATTTACCATAGGGATTAACTATATTTAGGATAAGAGAGATCTTTAAATGTTTGTGACATTGCTTATTTAAGTTGATTCAATAAATTATTAAACTCTTTTAATATTGAATAATAATAATAGCATAATACTCAGCATCCAAAGAACAATAACACATAACATAAAATTAATGTTAGAGAATATGTATGTCACCAATTACATTTATCTACTAAATAGAACACTCACCTATACTCTCTCCATCATCCCAGAACAGAGATCCTTGTGCCATTTGATTATCATCAGCAGCAACGATAAGTCTCATGTAATTTTGTCGACTATAAGAAAGAAATATATAGTTTTACCCATGTTTATAGAATAAAACATGTTTAGTTATGATATGGTTTCCATATAAGTATCCAAAGGAACACAAATTGGAATAGCAATTAAGTAGAATGCAAACTGAAATATGATATAAATCATAAAATTCTTTATATTTAATAGAAAATATCATGTGTGTCTTTTGTTCTCAAGAGTTCACCTACTGTAACAATTCAGAAGAGGCCTCATTTACAGCAATTAAAACCACATTAAGTTATTTATGTATTTTTATTTCATAACATTACGGGGGTACAAATGTTTAGGTTACATGTATTGCCTTTGCCTCACCCGAGTCAGAGCTACAAACATGTCCATCCCTCAAACGGTGCACACCACACCCATTAGATGTAAATAAATTCATCCCTTCCTCCCCTCTTCTACCTATGCAACACTCAATGAATGTTACTACTATATCTGCACATAAGTGTTGATCAGTTAATACCAATTTGATAATGAGTGTAGGTGGTGCTTGTTTTTCCATTCTTGTGATACCTTACTTAGTAGAATGGGCTCCAGCTCTATCCAGGATAACACAAATGGTGCTAGATCACCAATATTTTTTGTGGCTAAGTAGTACTACATGGTTATTGATATATTTACTTATTCTTCTCTTTGGTAACCCTGTTATTGGCCATTAAACATTAAACTATTTTTATAGCATTTTTGGTGTCCTATGATTTAAGTCTTCTTCACATTTGCATATATAAATCACTGAATTATTTTGACCATTATTAATAAGAATGTATAGAAGAGCCAGTAAGTTCTAAGTTCTATCCTTGTAATAGAAAGTACTTCCCAAGCATGTGCCTACATAGACCTATTTATGAACTAAATACTTGCTTCCATGTTCAATATCCAGCGATTACACGGCACAACTTGTTTTAGCAGCATCATATTGTTAAGGAAGGATTTCTCAGACAAATAGTTTTAGCTAGCTGCCGTTTCCAATCACAAATGTTGAAGGATGTATGTCATGGAAGTCTCCTAAAATATCCACATTTCTGAAGTTCAGATCTCCACGGTAACTCGATATTTTCCAGGTAAAAGATGTTAACAAGCTTTAGCATGAATACATATATGCATTTCAGTTCACAGTCACTGGGCTAAAAGTATAACTTAGAAACATTAAAAATCTTATTTAACCTGCAACAACCAGACACATATTAAAACTTGAGATTCAAAAGAGTTTCACAACTTTTATTCGACCCTGTACAATGGTTTCTGTCCTGTCTCATGACAAAAGCAAGGATTCTTCAAGGCACAACTTATGAATGGTTTCCTCCATGAAGACCTCACTTATCAGATGCAATCATTTTTCTCATCTTTAATTGATATCAGGAAAGAATATTGATAGAAATGGAGCTGAGTGGTTCCAGAAGATGAGAAGAGTCTATTCATGCCAATGAAGCTGTCAGTAGGTAGATTACCAAGAGAGTCGACAAGAGCATGAAAAAAAAAAGAAAAATCGGAACTGAGTCCTCTAGAATCTGAATATGAAAGCCAGCAATTTGGGCAATGGAAATAGAGACTCTGTGTCTGCTATAAGAGACTCACTCTTGCATCAGTCACAGAAGACAAAGTGGACCCATGGTCTCTGGCATATTGCTGAATGAAAGGGAGAGAATACCTGATAGAGGTGCCGAGGCAAAGAAGAGAGGGTCATGGACAGATGATAAATTATGAGGGGTAATAGAAAATCTGTGTTATCCTTCATCTTTATATGGGACAAGACCACTAAAAAACAAGTCTGGTTCCTCTGTGAACAGCGGGCACCTTAGAAGTACGAAGGAGCACTGATACAGTCAGTGGATTTTTGCATTTTAATGGACTACAATGAGTCTGGAAATGCTAACATATCACTAACATATCACAAGGAAGTCAGAGGAAGGCAGAGAAAGGGAAACAGAAAAGAGATGGGAAGGAAATAGAAGTCCTCCAAGCAATATTGACTTAAAGTTTGTAAAAGGCTTCACAAAATGGAATATTATTCAGTGATAAAAATGAGATACTAAGCCATGAAAAGATACAGTGGAAACTTAAATCTATATACCTAAGGGAAGAGTCAATTTGAAAAGGTTACATACTGTATGATTCCAACTATACGGCTTTCTGGAAAAGACAACATAATGAAGAAAGTAACTTTTTACTGTGGTTGCCATGGGTTCGAGGAGGGATGAATAGATGGAACACTGAGAATGTTTAGGGCAGTAAAACTACTCTATATGATACTACAATGGTGAATACATGTCATTATACATTTGCTCAAACCCACAGAAGCTATAATACCAAGAGTGAATCCTAATGTAAACTATAGATTTTGGTTGAAAATAATGTGTCAATGTAGGTCCAACAATTATAACAAATCTACCACTCTGGTGGGGGATGTTGATAATGGGAGGCTATGCATGTGTGGGGGCAGGGAGTTTTTGATAAATCTCTGGATTTTCCTCTCAATTTTGCTGTGAATATAAGACTACTCTAACAATAGTCTTAAAAACTGGTTAATAAAAAATCATGTTTTCATGAACTAAGTAATAGTTTGATCCACATGTTAGAGGCAGAAAAAAGATGAAGACATTTAAAATATAAGACTTTCATTTGCCAGTACTTCTGTATATTACAATACAGAGGTCATAGAGTTTTAGTTTATATTTTGGTCTGAGGGATGGGGTGGGGGATGTAAATTCACAACTAATGGAAGCAGAATGCACTGTATGGGGGAGGGACACGCTTGTAGCCCTGACTTGGGTGGGGCAAACAGCATTACATGTAACCAAAATGTTTGTACCCCCATAATATCCTGAATACATAAATAAATAAAAGAGAACAACACAGGAAAAAAAAAAAGACAGTGGACGTCTTGTTGGAAGACAATTTTCCATTAGTCTCCTGCATTACTGTATATCTTACATGCAGAGACCCTGACAGCTTTTCTTCTGAACTCTCTTGAAGGCTATTTTAAAAGTGAATAGCACTGAAGGACAGGGAAAAAAATTTTAAAATATATTATTAGTATTACTGTCCAGTATAAAAAAGATAATGTCTTCCTTCAAAGCAAAGAAAGGATAGGTTTGCTTGTAGCCCTATAAAAGTTTGGGTTTTTTTAAACTTGGGGATCCTCAGCGGTGACACAAACCTCCTATATATGCAGCATCTGCCTGGGCCACTCCATGTCATCCTCATGGGGACTGGGAGACAAGAAAAACTGATGCTAATATGAAGTTCCTCTTTCCTGTTATGCCATAAATAATAAAGACTTTTGTCTCTTACCAAGCATCCATGATACTGTGGCAGGCTACTGTACTAGCTTGCAATTGGGGTAAAATATCAGACCTTTCTAGTCCCTGACAATTCTAATATGATGTATCTCAAAATTTAATTTGAGCTCTGAAAAAACAGTTCACTTACCTGAAAAATGTGTTTTGAGCAGGCTCTTGACACGGTAGGATGTAGCCACCACGGACATGTAAGTTTATTGTATCAAAAGGAGTATCAAAATAAAGAAATTGTCCTCTGAGACCAATATCTTGGCCCTGGAAATGAAAGAGGTGGAAAGAAGAACAAAAGGAGCAAGAAGTGGAATCATTAGCAACATTTGTAAGTGAGGGGACACATTTGTAAAGTTAAACAATACATTTTCAATGTAAAAAATTTAGAAACAAACATTTATTCAGGAAATCTTAATTTGATTCACTACAGTAATTACTTTACTATTTATATGTATCCCATAATATCATAGTGTATACCTTACACATATACAATAACATTTATTTTAAAATGTATCTTTAGTTCCTAAATATAAATCCTTATGATAGCTTTGCAAGTAATTTACAGATACTTGCTTTTGTGGAGCTCACATGCAGAAAATGTGCGAATTTTTGAAAGGTCACAAAAGCTGTTCCTGAGTTGTCATGTACATTATTCTTGGAAGGACTGCACTACCTTGAATGATCATTTTACATATCCAATAACAGGCAATGACCTTTTTGTTTGTTATGTGCCCTTTTGATGTTTATTTGCTAAAATAAATCAATGACTGTATAACGAGCAATAGCAGAATAAATGAACTCTATTTCACTGTGTGTTAATTTGATTCAGGTGTAAACAGCAAGAAATATCTTACTTTTTTAGGTGGAAAGTAAATCACATACATCATTAATGAAAAGACTAGGACCAAACTATTACCCATTTCTGTTTAGTTAATTCCCCAGAATTCCTTAAATACTTACTGTATGGTAGTCAAACCACCGAGCATTAGGGACATAGGCATATACAACTTCAGCATACTGGAATTTAAATATATAGCCATTAAAAAACATATAAACCAAAGAAAAATTATGTTTTGAACAAAATTATGTGGTAGGACTTACGGGTTCCAATACAGGGGTAACCATAAATGCTGGACCCCATAAGAACTGCTTAAATATATCCCAGGTTGGCTTTTCATTGAAGAACCTTGACAAAATAATTAGAAATAATTAAATTAAGTCAAATAACTTTATCTCTTCTGAATACCATTAGAATAATATTCAAATCACATTTTGCAGTATGGACTTTTGTGGATTAAAATGAAAATCAACCTAAAAAAACATCAAAAACAATTCTAGCCCTCAGAATTCTGCATGCAGCAGTACCATATTTTATGAGTAATTCTGGACTATGAATAAATTTTCTTAAAAAATGCAGAGAATTGTGATGAACATGTAAGACCAACTGAATGAGAAATCACTTTGGAAGAAAACTCATAGAGGTACAAATATTAACTTTGCCTAATGTATGATCAACAAACTAGGAAGTAAATATAAATACCTGGAAGAAAATTATGAGACATGTCCTATAAGAATTTTAATCTGTTAACTTTAAAAAGAGATTGATTATCGTATTCTATAGAGCTGTCTAAATGTTGGATTTAACACATAAGTGCACATATAAGAATAACATTTATTGGATGTTGGGCAGGGGGGAGAGGGGAGGAGGGGAAGGGTATATGCATACACAAAGAGCGATGTGCACCATCTGGGGGATGGTCACGCTTGAAGCTCGGACTTGGGGTGGGGGGGCAAGGGCAACATGCGTAACCTAAACATCTGTACCCCCATAATATGCTGAAATAAAAAAAAGGTTTTCCATATGCAAAGAAATTTCTGAATTTTAAATATAAATGACTAGAAAAAACAAAATCTGCTTTTATAGCTTGAGAATAGCCAGTATGAAATGCTCACATTTCTTCTCAAACCGAAATGAAAGAGAAAAGTTATTTTTATAAAATGTCTTTATTTTGGTTTCATTTTGTTTTGCTTTATTAAAAACTGAGATTAATGCTGAATTGGACAACTGGGTTTACTCTTCCATGGACTTCCCCTGAGAGCCAAGGCATAGGCATCCTCAACAGGACAAGAGTCTGCCTAATTAATAATGTTTGTGGTTGGAGACTCAGTCCAGAGCTGTTACCCCAATTATTCTGGGAAGTTTATAGGAATAACACAAAGGAGAAGAGTCTGTAAATGAAAAAGGATGGGGATCAATAAAATAAAGAAGGGATTATGGTAAATAAATCAATAAAGTAACTAGAGCATAATTTGAACCTAGAAATACTTTTTTTTATTTTAAGAAAAGTGGATTTCTTATACTATTATCAAAAAAGAAGGCATATTGATCAATTTATTATTTTGGTAATCTTACATTGGGTACTATTGCTTTAATTTTTGTAAATATTTGCCACTGTTTTAGTGGTTTATCAATAGTGAAATCTAACAAATCATTCATTTATTCTTATAACATAAGGCACACAAAAAGCTAAGTACACTATGATTATTTAGGGTTTTTTGTTTTTCTGTTTGATTATGTGTTTTGTTTGTTTTTTAATATTCACAGTAAGAATCTGCTTGTATTTGCAATAAAAATAGAACAAGTTCAAATGTTTGCAACTATGTTCCATGTAATAGAATTTTCAAGGCTTGGTCCTTTATTAGTTGAAATTTTAAGGGTGAATCCAAAAAAAAAAAATTTCTAAGGAGAATGGTAGAACTGTTCAAGCATATCTTATTAGCACACTTCAAGGAAAAAGTGAGATGGTCTTCTTCAGTCAGAAATATATACATGGTAGGTTTACCGAACTGCAGTAAACCTCAGTTAATTAAATTATAAGGGGTAATCTTATTTCTTTCCAAGAAATTTGTAAAATGTTCAATGAATTATGTATATAAAACATCTGAAATAATATCTGGTACACAGTTGTTACTCTTAACAATTATTACTTTTTAATAACTGATTAAGGTGTTTCATTCTTAAATTGCATATATTAGTCTATTAGTAGATTTATTTATGTAAATGCTTTATTAACCCAAAATGAATGCTAAAATAACAAATAAAAAGTTTCCAATACAAAATATTCTACATTACATCATAAGAAATTATTGAATAAATTAAATGAAAGCTACATCTTTGAGGAAGGAAAAAGCAAACTTTGTACTTACTCATGCAAAAGGGGTCGGATAACAGTGCCACCATGAGCATGAATTTCATGCATTTGTGTATAGAAATAGGGCAATAAGCTGTATCTGATATTTAGAATGTTCCTTGACATATTAGAGAAAGTTTCATTCCAAGAAGCAGGATCTTGTCTCTGAAACAAAGAAAAATTATATACAGCTATAAGTCCTTGCTCTTGTTTAAATCATAATATTCAAATACATATTTGGAAGAAAAAAGTAGGAAATACTATCAATTCATTGTCTTATGCTATGTATTATACTTTCTTCACAAAAATCTTATGCAATTATGTTTCTATCATATGATAGAAAGAGAAGGCATAAATTAATATTTTAATAAGAAAAACTCCAGTTAATTTCATGACTTGATTTAGTTTAGGTGAACATGCACAAAGAATAGTTCACATTTTAATAGATGACAGATATATTGTCAATTAGGTGATGCTCAGTGTTGGGATGAGACGTCTAGGAGAGAAATCAAATAATATGCTATACAAAAGTGGATTGAAATGAACACAGACATACAGAGCAAATCATAGTGACCTTGCACATTGTGAGTGTTCATGAGAATGAATACATTATGGTATTAAAGAATTAATACTACAGATAGAATAGAGGACCTAATGGTGAATGAACGGAAAGAACATGCCCACGTTTGCTTTGGCATACACATTCCATCTCAAAAGACTAAAATCAAAAGTGGAAGATTAAAAGCCCATAAAAGAGTTGTTGGACATATTAGTCAAAAAGTAATAGAAAAGGAAAGTGACTAGTTATATATTTTAATTTGTACCAGAGGAATAAATAAGGCTATCACATAACTCCATGGGGGGTAACACATTCAATTTTGTTGTTAATATCAACAAAACTGAGGCCCTTTAGAGCTGTCATATCTATGAAGATAACAGTTTTTCTAGATTTCAGGAGTAGTAAAGTTTGGATGATGACTGTCATCACTGTTGTATGCAGTATTAGAATAGGTAAAACCTTGAAAGTAAAAATCATCCAAGAAGTATTAAGCTATATGTGATCCCATTGTTAGTACTTTCAAAGTTAAATGAGAAGAAAAAGACAAAGATCACATCTGTTGCTTATTGATTTCATTAATATGATTTCAATTTTAAAATGTTGACATAAAAGCATTTAATTCTAAACCATACACTCCTAAGTTCAGTTATAGTAACTTATATTTAAACTTAAGTGGAGGTTTCTGTCCCTGAAATTTTTATTTACAAATACTTCCCCTCCTCTTTTTTATTTTCCCTCCTTTTACATTTCAGTTTCCCTCAAAAACTACAACCACATTATGATTTTGCAGTGTTTCACTTTGCTCCTCCCATCTTCTCCTCCTCCATATATTTATAGTGATTACTCTTCCCCTACTCCTATCTCTACTCTAATGTACTTTCATCCAAGCCCTTTCTGAGCTCCCTTTCTAAAACAGAACCCCTATAAATCTCTATCGGTTTAGCTTATTCTATTTTCCCTTATACACACATATTTAATCACATTATATATACATATATATATATATATATATATATAATCTCTATCTCCCCTTAGAATATATACATCATTAAGGCAAAACTTTTTAAATATTAAATAGTAGACTTTCAATAAATACTTGTTTAGTTTAGTGAATCCCTGCCCAGGCTGTTATTGACTCTTGCACCATCTCCCCTATATTTACAGCCCTCTAAATTACATTATTGACAGCAAGTTTTCTTGTTAAAATATTCCTGTTCCATCAAGTTATGTCTCTACTGTTCAACTTTAAAATTCTTCCAAATTTTGGTTCCATTCTGCCTTTTTATTCCTGTACTACAACATTTTCTAAAATAAATTCTCCTTTCTATTTCAACTAAAATTTCCCATGGGTGGCAAAATTTCACAGCACTTTATGAGCCCTACTATTCACTTACTATGACTGGAACAAATCCTTCAAAGACCTGCTCTGTCTTCAACTCCTCCATGCTGTGCATTTTGCTAATTTATCTTTTCTCTGAACTTCTTCTTGAAAGTATTATGAAATTTTGTACTTAGCTATTGCCTCTAATTGTTCATACTTTTTCATGATTTTTAGTATTGTTTCCCCAATTACTCAAAAATTCCTCCAGTCAATTTATTAAAGTGCATAGTCGTGCTATCACACAGAAATTCGTTCTCATTAATCTCTTTTCCTTTTATTAATATATTTTTTCGATTTCTCAACTTGTTTTAACTTTTGCCTTTTAAATTTGTTCATTTCATGCATTGATACAAATGACTTTTACTTCCAATTATTTAGTTTGCAGCTGATTTCCTTATTGTTCTATCTCAGTTTGGAAGAAGTTCCAGAGGTAGACTTTTTTCCTCACTACTCCAAAATTATATAGGACAGCAGTAAATATGCCAGCCAAGCAAGCCATGTCTCCTAAAGTGTAATAAAGTATACCCCAACTCAGAATGTTCTCAAAGTGATGGGTCCAGATGTCCTCCATAATTACAAAGAAGTTTAAAAACATTCATCTGAAAATCAGCCAAGTAAGATGCATTCTATTAAAAAACTTCTAATGTTGGTTGCAGGAGAAGATTGAAAGTAAATGCAGTAATTACATACTCTAGTATTTGCAATGTTGTGATTTCTTGCGTATGGATAAAATGCTCCAAGTTGCATCCAGCGGGTACAGAGATGATATTCCGAATCGTTGAAGAAACCACAGATGTCTGCTCCAGTCTAAAATACGTTGTTATATTTAATTAGTTTTGAATAGTTTGTTTCTTAATATTTATAATTTAGGAAGATAAAGGGAATAAAGCTACTTACATATGATATTCCAAAGAGACTAAATTCCATCATACCTAAAAAAAATAGCAAAAAAATTTTAGAAAGCTACCATTTCACGTATTTTAATATATTTTATTTGTATTCATGAAGATGCTTCCTTTCTAATATTAACCTCCAATTTAATGAAACATTTTTCAGATTATTAATATGCTTTTACATCACTTCTCATAGCATTCATTTTTTGTTTTATAGTGTTAATGATTATAAAAATAAGACACTATAAGCTTCCTTAACACTTGCAATATGACATATTTAGAGCACAAATCTGTTATTGAACACATCATAGTGTGATAAGAGAGTGGTAGTGGCTTCCAAGTTTCATTTTTGAAAATAAAGAGACTTTCTGCAATTAGATAACAATATGTCCTATCATTTGAGACAAATCGAATTATCTTCATTTAATAAAATCCTCTTAAGGAATGATCACTTCAATATATTAGAATGCATGTGTTTTGTGAGCTCTTCTTTTAAAGGAATATTTCTAAACATCAACTGTTTTCCTTGAATCTATTTATCAATTATAAGGAATTTTTAATATTAGTCATGAAGCATTAAAGTATCTTTTTTTCCTTTAAAATAATGATGTCTTATTTACCACTTATTCAACTATTGTCACAAAATCCTTTCGAAATTTGACGTGAAATGTTTCCTTCTTTGGCATCTATTAGTAATTCTTTTTTTTTTTTTTTTTTTTTTTTGAGACAGAGTCTCACTGTGTTGTCTGGGCTAGAGTGAGTGCCGTGGTGTCAGCCTAGCTCACAGCAACCTCAATCTCCTGGGCTCAAGCAATCCTTCTGCCTCAGCCTCCCGAGTAGCTGGGACTACAGGCATGTGCCACCATGCCCGGCTAGTTTTTTCTATATATTTTTAGTTGTCCGATTAATTTCTGTCTATTTTTAGTAGAGACGGGGTCTCGCTCTTGCTCAGGCTGGTTTCGAACTCCTGAGCTCAAACAATCCGCCCGCCCCAGCCTCCCAGAGGGCTAGGATTACAGGCGTGAGCCACCGTGCCCGGCCCTATTAGTATTCTTATTCTCTACAATTTAGAATTTCTATTCATTTCTATTTCTTAGCTCTAGAAGTTATCTTTCCCAGATCATGCATTTTTCAACCAGAAAACTTAGGCCTAAAAGAACATTATTTTCCCAAAATAAACTAGTTGAACATCATTAGTTTCTACGCAGCATCCCAATCCTGCTTCCTGGCCCACTGCCTTTTTCTGATTCTGATGATCATATTTCATAAAATATGATGCCAAAGTATAATTCTGAGGACTTTTATATGAACTAGCACAAACAAAAGTGAATACCTAATAGAAAAAACAAAACATAGTGATAAATACAGTGGCTTTCACTTACCAATGATCGATTTATCCAGATTGTCCCATCGTGCATAGTTGTCTCCAAGCCAGTGTCCCGCCCACTGTCCACCAGTAGGATATGTGGAACGAGAAATAACCATCCCTCTTTTGCCAGTTGTCTTCTGTAATGCACTAATAAGGATAAAGAAGGATTTTGAGTTTTTTCATGAAGTATTTTCTTCAAATATTTCTACATATGTCCACTTCGTGGAAAAAAGTGTTTGATTTATGATATTCAGGTTGTCTCTTTTTCCAACTAGGTCTTAATAAGTGAGTCTTTCCTCATTATACTACAAAATCCTCGCAGGCACGAAGGACATTTTTCTTTCCTCCCAACATTTACCAGAATGACATGAAGATATTAAGTGGCCTTTATATATTTCTTCAATGAATACAAGTTAAATCAACTATTACTAGCATCAAATCAACTAATTAATCAAGTTGAACTTTTTAAATCTATTTAAACATTTTTTAATAAAGGGCTAGGCTCTAACTATTGATCACTTCAGTTGTTCACAATTATAACTTGTCAACACTTAATGTACATATTACTGTGCAGAGAAATCCTGCTACAATATTTTCTGTTTTAGAGGCTAGTTTAAAGAGAGAAAGGCTTTCTTGTGTCTTATTAATAAAAATAAAATTAATTGTTCTATTTCAAGCATAGAATCTATACCAAGTAAGATCTCATCAAGAGAAAAGATTATGTTTAATGATGTTATATTTTTTATTTTCTCTCCTCTCCAATCTTCAGAGAGTGATGTTAATAATTTATGCATGTTAAAATATATTATAGTTTCAGGAATAATGCAATAATGCATTATTTTATATTATCTGCATCTCTTTTCCTCTATATCCTTTTCTCTGCCCTCTATCTTTCTATCTTTCTCTCTCTCTCTGTCTCCTTCTCTGTCTCTCTCTGACTGTGGACTAAGATTACATAATAAGAATATAAAAAGAGAAAATTATTTGGTTATATATTATCTGGAAATAAAAATTTATTTGTATATTACTCAAACAATTTGTATATGATTAAGAACTATAGAGCTATCTAGGGAGAAGATACCCCAAATACCTAATTAAACAGACTTTACTACTACTCACTAACATATTGTCAACATTATTGAATCATTTCCTTTTTATAGCATGGGCCACAGTGTTTTTACTCATTTGTTTATAGATAAAGCTTCCTCCATGAGATCTTGAGGTTCCTGTAGTCAAGCATTATATTTTAATTTTCCTTGTATCTCTTATACTTAATAGAGGTCTTGGCATGTAATAGTAGCTCAAGAAATTTTTGAGGCAATGAATATCTCAAATCAAAATTACAGGAAACTAAAAATATTTTAAATAGACATAAGATGATATATTGAACCATCTTTTGATAATAGAGACAATATTGTATTCATTAACTTAAAACTTCCAAGTTGTACATTATGTCCCTCTTTAAAAAGATCATATAAGAAAACCATCTTCATTGCTTTATTTTTCCATAACAAATATAAAAGGGCCAATATAAATGGAATATTAATATTTTAAATACATATCACATATATTTGCTGATAACAAGAAATAAATGTGTACTTATAAGAGAATAAAATAATTGATAATCAATCTATAAATCTATGTGAAAATATACTTTCTAGGTTTAGTTGATTTGCAAACAAAATTAATTTTATTTAAATGATATGAAAATAATTTACAAGGACATGGTTGTCTCAAATTCCTAACGTGTTCACACGCAAGAAAATCATATTCATGAAAGATTTCTTTTTTCCTATTGTATATCTAACTTCTGCAAAAATTCCTCATTGATGCTTTAAATTAATAACTGAACATATACCTTCTCAGATTTTTCTGATTGAAAAGGATTTTACATAACATATTCTCATACAATAAGTACAAAGTTACAGTTAGACAAAAAGAATAAGTTCCATTTTTCTATTGCACAGCAAGGGGACTATAATTAATAATAACATATTATATATTTCAAA